CTTTCTCATCCCTGATTCTGGCTGCTGAGTGTAGATTGAAGCTCTGTAGAGCCTCTTGAGGTTTGATTTTTTTCTGGCATACCACAATTATAACCTCAATTGGTGAAGGAAAGCATGTGGTGGCAATAATATGTTTGAGGACCTAGAAAGAATCTGAAGTATCTTTATATGTTATGCCTAAGTGTCTTAGAGGTTTCTTATCAGCTGTGTAAAGTTTTGTAGACGTCATGTTGTGCATTTTAATTAATGGGCATTGTGAAGAGGAGTGTGCTTGGTTTCTTATTTTAAACAGCGTCAAGAGATTATCAGTGTACTGAGAGCCCCGTCAGCAGGGTGAGTGCCGTGCGTGTCTCAGACCATGAGGCTTCAGCCCTGCATTGACATACACAGTGTAAAACACGTCCAGAAGGCCAAAGACAGTCTCTTTGAATTATTTTCTCTTTACCATTTGATATAATGGACTGGGGAAAAGCTGTGCAGTCAGAGCACAACATGCTTGTTGCTAAGATTTATGTACTGTTGGACTTCTATTTTGCTGGTTTAAACCAGTTGACCCCTTTGTCCCATCCTGCTACTGTTTTCCACTTACTTTGCGTCAGCTCCATGAGAGGACTCTGCCCACCCATGTGAAGAGGGGAAGAAGACTGGAGTGAAAGAGGGAAACCTAATCCTCCAGTGGGTGTGTGAAAGCTAGACCTTCTGTGGCTCTATTCTTTTTTCATTTTCCTATAACGCAGAAAAAGGTGATTCTTCAGGCCTGCCAAGCACAGAGAGTGGGATCCAAAGCAATGCCTGGGCTTGGCACTGTGTGGGAAAGGCAGAGGGGGAGGATCTGAAATCCCATTGTTGGGGGTGCAGTTTGGCGTTTGCAGAAAGGCATCTTTATCCACCTCCCTCTGCACTGGCTTGTCTTCTTCTTGGCAATCCTTGGTGCTGAAGACCACTCTTTCAGGGTAGCGGGGCTACCTATTTTCTTTCACAGCACGTCCACAGGAGGAGATGGTGATGATAACATTTTACTTAGACCCAATCCATGTTGCTAAAGGGAGCGGCCCTGGCCAAGGCCCTGTGAAGCACCGTTGCTGACCTCCATGCTGCTTCCTTCCCCCTTTCTGGAAGG